AACCTCTGACTCCAGCTGGAGTCAAGGGGGTGGGTATTCTGGTCCGACAGCACAGCCTGGGCTGCGTTTAGGTGCACTTTACACCAAACCAGCGTCGGGCTGATTTCACAGGCCGCTCTAAAACGGATTTTAATTTTCCTGCCGGTTTATCTCAGTCACTTGTAGCTCTCCAAAGTAATCCTGAGGATGTGTAACACCTTTTGCTGTAAACCCTGAGCCAAGGACTACAGGGGCTTTGCTTCACCAGTAATGCATCATCTCCGTAATTAAACGTATCCACTAATCCCCGCACTCCCCCGGGACCGAGGCACATCCTCCAGAGGGTGTTTCTTTTGGGTAAAACTCGCCACTGGTTTGACCCAAGCGCAAAGCCCCGCACGACGCAGCTGGAGAGTTTAAGCCAGACCCCTCTTGCCCCAGGCTCCCCCGGCGTTTCGGAGCAGCCTTGGCACAAAGGCAGCGCCTTCCCTTTCCCAGTAGGCAGAAAGCTGATCTTCATTTTCCTACCATGGATTTCACAGGGCTCCTCAGCCTGATACCAGCCCTCTTGCTGACACATCTAGACTTTTCCGAGAAGCTGCAACAGAAATCAGGTCATCTTGACTTTTGCAAACTCATGAGTCGGTTGAAACGACGGACAGTCACGCTGCGACGCCTGTGAAAGGATTACTCAAAGGAGTTTATCTGCACAGCTCCATCGCTTCTCTGTCACCCTCCGTACTCTGCTCGGATGGAAAGAGAACCACCAGAGAACCCAGTACAGCTGCTAACGGATGGAGGAATCCACAAGACGTACGAAGCAAATGGAGGTGGCAGATCCTGGACGGCACCTCACGGCAGCGCCCGTGTCCTGCTCATGAGAGCCGCCGCGATGGACGCGACACGCCAAGAAACTCTGCGTGCGCGGCTCCTCATCGCACCGCAACGCCCTACCGTCTGTTATTGTTGTGTTGAACAAAATCTGACAATCTTCTGTCATTGTTAACGTTTAGAGAGTGAAACACCACATCAGTGGGACAGAAAGGGCTTCCCCAGCCAACCTCTGCCTTGGAAGGAGACCAAGTCTGGCAGAACAACGACCTTCAATGTATTTTTTTCTGTCTGCTCTTTCACTTGCCCAATGAACCTCCCAAAATGGGTCTGTGGGGTCACTGCCTGGCCACCGGAAAGCAGTAGCTGGACTCGCTGCCGACTTTCCGGCCTGGGGAGGTCACTTTGAGCAGCAATTCAGCATCATGTTCTCATGGCTCTGATTTCACTTCCCCACACAGGGCATCATCTCGCACTTCTGAGGGCTCCAGGGTGTCCAACAGCGTTGCTTTTCGAAACTACTCTTGCAAAATCAGGTTTCTCACTAATAATTCAGAGAAAAATCTGAAAAGCAAATAAATTCCTCACTCTGTGTCAGTAGTCACTTCTCCAAGCAAAGACACAGTTGTTCTCTTTCCTGGTAAAACAGTCGCTTAATTTGGGAAGAAGAGCAGGAAAATTTTTTTCCATGACACACCGCTAAAACTGGAGACTATTTCAGGTGTAGTCATAGCACTGCAAGGCAGGGGCAACAAAAAGAGATTAATATCTACTTCCTTCATCTGTAACTCGTGTGTCATTTGCTTCCCAAAATCAGCAAGGAGTGTCCATGGTTTTCCTCCCTCTGAGCTGGTCTTCGCAAATAACGTACGATCTCTGTCTCCCCTGCTCGTGAACCCAGCTGATCTCAAGACGCCGAGATCACTATCTGTCCTGGCAGCTGGTTCCTGGGGACCCTCTTCTTCAGGGTTTCACTGGAAGCTGCTGGGGCAGGGGTGGGAGGAAGCAGCACTCTAAACACAGTTGGGAGGACCACGCTGAGGTCAGGGAAGACTCGGTGACCCGCAAGGCTCCGAACGTTTCTTTGGAAGACGGGGAGTGGAAAGGCGTGTGCGCAGTCCTTTGGGAGAAGCGATTCTCCAGCAACCTGCGGCGGGGAACGTGCCGTCAGCGCAGCGCCCGGCTACTCCGCGGAGACCGGAGAGGGAACGGGAAGGGCCAGAGGTCTGACCACAGGTCAGATAACATCGCTGCTGAGTCTGCCGCCGAGCGGGCAGGGACGCCCGGGAGCCCCAGGGTAAACACTCTCCTAACGGGGTTGCTATTTAGTGATGTCAAGTGGTCTACAAGGGCAGAGACCTTGAGACATACCCTCAAGTTCCGAACTGTGTCCTCCCACGAGAGGAGTTCCTTCAGGTTTACAGTAAGACGTGGTGAAGGGCAGGCTTAACTTTTCAGCAAACCTCTCCAAGATAGGGCAGGAATGACAGAACCGTTAAATTCTGTTGTTATTAAAACTCTGATGAGCAGATAAGCTGCAGACAAGGACAACCTCCTGCCAGTTGGCTGCTCGCCCATCACCAGTCCATGTTAGCATCCGTCTGTCCTGCCCGAGAGATCCTGGCAGCAGGGAACCAGACCTCCAGTTCCAGTGCAATCCCAAACCAGACCAACTCCGAATCAATTCCATCAGCACACGGCAGATCTGCTGATGGGGACACTGAAGTGTTCCAGAGCTCGTCAGGGTGGGTCCAGCCCATGAAGGCACCGAATGGTCAATCTCTTCAGCAAGATGATCCAACTGCTCAAGTGTAAAAGAAGGAACGTGTGAATCTCTTGAAGGCACAGGGATATTTTTAACACAGCTCCTCTGCCTCGTCTCACTAACGGAGCATTCCCAGGTAGGAACAGTCTCCAGAACGAAACTGACCCCAGTGGCCAGGAAAAAGCAGAGCTAGGAAAACATTTGAGTTGAGATGGAAAAAAAGAGTGTCATGATTTTTGCCCCAGCAAATCACACATACCTTTTAAGTGTTTCATTTCGTCTTGCTGGATCTTACAGCATTTTTGCAGTCCAGAGCAGATCTTTTCCAACAGGCAAACCTCAGCTCTGCCTCTTGGAAGATGCTCAAAGCTCATGTCCTGTGCTCTGGTTTCCCTCCAGTGGCACAAGCAGCAAGCTGCAGTTCTCCCCAGGGAGAGGCCTTCACAAAGCAGCACTGAGTAACCTACCACTAAATAACATTTTACTGCCTCACACCTTACCCAGGCCGAGAGAACTCGCCAAGAATTCCGAACCAGCATCCAGAAGAAGTCGCAGGGACCTGCTGGGAAGCATCTCTGAGCTTTGCTCCCCATGGAGAATTCAGATCGCCCCAAAGCTGCAAGACATTGGCTTTGGTCTGATCTGCCTTCCCCTGAGAGCATCACCTTCTTTTTTTCCTTCCTTTTTTAAACTTCTGTAATGCATTATTTATTGCTATACTCGTTAAAAAGGCAGAAGAGAAGGAACGATGATAATGCTCGGGGCACAACTTGTGAAGGTGCAACCTCAACAAAAACCCCTTGGGCAACAAATGAAATTAAGGACATTTCAGGCGTGGAGTTGCTTTGGTTTTGGGAAGCAAAGCTGTCTTCTTCCATGTTTCTGGCAAGATTTCAGACCAAAGTGTAGCTTTGCCATCGTTAAACACCACGCAGTCACCACGCCTCAAAACTCAGAGTCCTTTTGAAGGACGAGTGTGTCACGGCTGCCTTCTCACCACCATTGCTCCACATCTTTTTCTGTTCGTTTTTACAACACGGATACACACACATAACATTTTCTGTAATTTTCCCACTTAACATTTCAAATATCTAGGGCTTTTTCTTTCTTATTCCTGTTCTCGGACTCTAAACTTCTGAAATTTTTGTTAAAATGCAGCTCACTTTTCAATTTTGATTTACCAATTATTACCATAAGATTATCCAGAATTCCATTGGTACGAAATCCACCTACAGGCTGAGGAAAAAAACACCCCTAAAATTATTAAAGAATATATTCTTGCAGAAAATTCTGAAAACATATGCTATATGAAGTGTCTCTGTCATCACAGGAATCCCAGAACTAATTAGCAAATAAGAACAAAAACTTTTGCTCATTTTCGTCAAACAAATATATCGAAGTGTCAAAAATCCCACAGTACAAACCTCCCCACTTACTCCTACCAGGGCCATTGGGACTCAGTATCCAACATTTTTATATCTGGTAATTTAAACAAAAAAAAAAAATCAAAGAAAACCCAATTAAGGCAAAGATGGTTTTATTTGCAGTTTAATTTACAGCAGCTATTGAATATTTAAAATTGACACAATTTTTCAGGTTAACCACTTATATCCACTACTCACAGAGAGCGGAAGTATTAAGGAATTCTTTTTTTTAACCCATCTAACTTGATTTATTTTGAAGTTTTAACTCAATTAGTTCCTTTTTCTTCTTGGAAAGTGAACGGTGTAACACAGGCACAACAGAAGTCTCAGTACTGAGCAGAAAAAGCCTCTTTTGAAGCATGTTTCCAAAACATCCCAGCACGACGGAAGGAATCAGGCTTTGGGGTGCCCAGGACTGTTTCTACTCACTATCCAACCACTGGAATTTGCTTTCTAAAAGTGAATTTTCAGTATGTTCTGGTATTCAACAAACAGAGAAGGTGAATCACTTCTTCCAGGAACACCAGGCAGTAAGGAAGTGGAGTCTGGCCTCCTCCTTTAGCCAGCCCAGTTCCGTGGCAGCACTACTGGGAGGGTTTTTCCAGGATCTGTTATTGCCTGAAGGGCCCATGAATGTCAGCAGCCTCCAGGATATAAAATTTCAGCCTGAGTGGCCGTAATAGAATTTACAGGTTAAAATAAGTAAGAAATTAACCTTATTAGTTCCGACGGACGCTAATTTCTGCTTTGTCTCTTGCCAGTGTTTGAAGAGAGAGAACTTCACGCTCGCTCACCGTTGTAGGAAGAAGCGCTGCGTGTCGGTGCACGGCACGCAGTGCAGAGCCAAGGATCAGAGATGTTTAAATGAGCCTTCATCCTGCTTCCGTCCGGCGGGACGGCCAGAGCGCGGCCGTTCCCTTCTGCTGGTACGAAGCACTTGGCCCTTCTGTCGGTCACATCATGACCAGAAGAAAACTTGAATTAAGCGCTGCTTCTTCACGTCACTGTGGCACCCTGGGCACTTCTTGACCATCTAGATAAATAAATAAACAAAATACGTAGATATCACATTAAATTTCTCTATCAAGTCTGCGATTGTCCAAGAGGAACTATAAGCCAGGCTGGTTGCTTGACAGTCCCCAAGACATCGTGCCTACTATTTTTAGATGCAGCACTACCATGCAGTCAGTTATTTAACTGCTAGTAGGAAAAGGAGGAAAAAGCAAGCCTCCCAGTGAAGCAGCAGCAAACTTTACAGCAGTTGTCTCAGACTAGTTACAGCTATGACATACCTGGAACACCAAAATACAGGAACGAGGAAATGCCGAGCCTGCAAGAGCTGTTGTGAAGTACACATGTATTTGTTATTAGTAAAACCCCATAAGGTGGCTGATGAGTTCCCCGAATTCCTGCTTCCTCTTGCACAGGTGAGAAGGAAGTGACCTCCTGGGCATACCAGGGCATCAGTGATACATGTGGTCACGACCGAGGGTTCTGCAGGGGAACCAAGTACACGTATTTCTTCACACCACCACACATCTTTGCAGGCTAACAGCAGCATGAGGGTACCCGAGGCAACCACCTCTCCACCTGGGGTTCAGTTTCCTTCTTCACTAATCTTAAATTTGGAAGTCTGATCTTGAGCCATTTGACCTGCAGATGAACCTCAACTGTTTTTTTTATATCCTGCAAATTACTGGTAAAGCTACAAGTGCTCTGCTTATCCCAAAAGTGAGACTGTAAAAAGGGTTTTTTACTCAAAAGTGAGACTTTAAAAAATAAAACTAATGTTTGAGAAAACTGCCAGCCCAGTAGGCTAAAACGATGGGCACCCACATCAGCGGCGCTGCGCAGCCTTCCCTGCACTACGGAAGTTAATCATTGTAACAAAAATGCAAAGTGGGGTCAGGCACTGGTGTTTGGACTCCAAGAACATTAACTGAAATCCCATAAATGGACGAGGAGAGGAAAACTCACTTCACCTCCCAGTAGACCGTGATTTGTCAAAAAGCTCTGAAAATTTTAAGTGTAATATGTAACTGAAATGCAGTATTATTTGCCCATGTTACAGGTAGTCCAAACGAGCACAACTCGGTCTCTCTGGACACCTGCAAAAAGAGCAGGAATAAATTCAAAGACTGAAAAGCAGCGCTCGACCTCCGCGCAGAGGACCGCGACCGAGCGCAGCGTGCGCTGGCACAGCCTGCAACGCGCTGAGAAATCACCCAAGATGCACCGCCACTAATCCCTCTAATACCCTTCCAGCTGCAGGGAATTCTGTCTGCTCTTCCAAACCCTTCCAAAATTATTCACGGCCTCTCCCCGCCGCTAAGCTATTTCGGTAAAAGAACGAATTGGAAGAGACATCACCGTTTGCCAAACCCAAGTCACTGCCTTTTGAATGACAGGCTGTTAGTCACTTCCTCGTAGGGTAAAATAAACAAAAGGGCTTTCGGGCTGAAGAAATACAGTGAGTAACGTGTTAGCAAAGAAAATGGATGAGTTTTCCAATGCAGCCCAGTCAGCGGTGACAAAGCCCGATGCCATCTGATGAGAGCTGGGAGCTCAGACACAACAGATGTGGTTGCTCATTTCCTGGTGAGGGTACCTCTGTCACACAGCCCCTGCCACGAATGGAAGCGATGTCTGTGCAAGGAACCACCACATGGGTAGGAATGCAGATGGAAGCATTAGGAGATGGTTCCTCTGGGATTGGTTTCAGAGAAACATGGAATAATCTGCTTCCTGTTTGCAATCCCGTGCTCCCAAACAAGATGTTCTTCCTTCTCATCTGCATGGCTAGCAGAGAACAGTTTTGCCTCATTGCAGGGAGAAGTGCCTCTCTCCATCAGTCATGGAATCATAGAATGGTTTGGGTTGGAAGGGAGCTCAAAGACCATCTAGTTCCAACCCCCCTGCCATGGGCAGGGACACCCTCCACTACACCACGTTGCCCAAAGCCCCATCCAACCTGGCCTTGAACACTTCCAGGGATGGGGCAGCCACAGCTTCTCTGGGCAACCTGCTCCAGTGCCTCTGCACCCTCATTGTAAAAACTTCTTCCTTAGATCTACTAAATCAGTCCTCAAGTAATATCCCAAACTACAAGATTTTTGACTTTTCATTAACCGAACTACACTTGAATGGCATCATGAACAAGCCAACATTACTGTATAACAAGAACCATTCATCAATAGAAAGGTATGACACGAGTAAGGCAAGACGAGGTGAGGAGACTATGTAGCTTTGTGTTCTCCATAACAAAGGCTATAGTCAGTCATGCTGAGCCTTGAGGGGTGTTTGAACAGTGGAGCAAAGGACCTCAGCTGGTGAGATGCTTCTTACATCCCCCACACCCAACAGTTTGTTGGTCAAAGCAAGAAAAATTCTCAGAAACAAGGACTTTGATGTATGCTGTCTATGGAGGAGACAAATGGATCACACTTGGTGTAGAAGACTCCAAAGGTGCATTTATGATGGACAGAGTATCCGTGATGCATTTTCTTGAGAACCAGAAGAGTATTTTGCTTGTCCTTTCTAAACAAATGGAGTATTAAACTGAACTCGCAAGAAGCAAGTTCAAAATGACAACAAAACAAATGAGATGGTTCTTCAACAACACTTGGCTAAGCTGTGGAAGTGCTCCGACACGGATGACAATTCCATTTGTGTTCAAAGCGAATTGGACAGTGTGATGGAAACACATCAGATGTTTCTTAACATACAGCAAACTTTGGCTCCGGGAGCTCCTGTGCTGCAAATGGCTTCGGGACTGAGCAATTACCTGCAAGAATCACCACTCACACCTGCCATGTTCTGCCATCCTTTCCCAGCCATCCTTTTTTGGCCACTGTCAGACATTCAGAGACAGAATGCTGGGTTGGAGGGACCTTTACTCTGGCTCAGTACGTCTGCTGTTACGTTTGGAATATTTGCTTCCAACTCTATCAGTCTTTCCCAATCTTTACAAACTGTAGGACAGCATTCACCTCACAGGGCTGTGGTGTGCTACCACAAAGCAAAGCTCTGATTCATCTTGTTAAGAAAAACAGATATTTTCTTTCCCTGCCATCACTTGGTGCAACGTGGGATGAAGTTTCACTGTAACTAGTAAGATTATCCAGGTAAGTGGGAAACATAGAAGTCATTAATAACAAATGACCCATGGGGAATGACTAATTTCCTCAAACATGGCTTTGTATTGGACATCTGAACAGAACCAGGAAGAATACTTCCACGCATCTGAACAGAACCAGGAAGAATACTTCCACTTGGACTAGATGATCATTGTAGGTCCCTTCCAACTGCCTGACCACTTCAGGGCTGAACAAGTGACCACTTCAGGGCTGAACAAAAGTTAAACCATATTATTAAGGGCATTGGGGGATCAACCACCTCTCTGGGAAGCCCGTTCCAGTGTTTGACCACGCTCTCAGTACAGAAATGTTTCCCAGTATGTAGTCTGAACCTCCCCAACACAGCTCTGAACCCCTCCCACACGTCCTGCCACTGGATACCAGGCAAAATTGATCAGCACCTCCCTTCTCCACGTCCCCTCCCCGGGAAGCTGTGGAGAGCAATAAGGTCACCCCTCAGCCTCCTTTCTCCAAACGAGACAAACCCACAGTCCTTATCTGCTCCCCACAGGACATTCCCTCCAGCCCTTCCACCAGCTTTGTTGCCCTCCTCTGGATAGATTCAAATACCTGAACCTGAAATAGTCTAATCTAGTAGACTCCAGACTATTTTAATTCCCAGCCTAAGAGATGTGCAATCAGAAACAGGAGTGATTAAAAAAAAAAAAATTGAGGTGAAGCAAATTTCTGTGATTTATCTATGAGCTATGAAAATGCATATTAACTTGGGGATTAAGAAGAAAACCAGACCTCAGAATTATGAATTCCAACCAAAACCCACAGAACAGGGCTGTGCAATTGCTCAATATACAGCAGTTCTAATTTTGTGGATTCTTAAGATGACGAAACAACAATTACAAGTTACATCTTACTGGCAAAAGGAGAGAGAAAAATTTATGAGCTGAGATAACATAATCTGTCTGTGGGATAATAAACGTTTGCCTAACCAAAAAACACTCCCCAGGGAGCTCATTCAGTTCCTTAGTCAACTCGAGTCTCATGCAGCAGAGATCAAACACACATGCTAGTAAAATTCTCATCATGACCTTCCTCAAGTCTCTTCCAAGTGGAGTATGTTGGCCAACAGATGTTCATCCCCGTTACACTTTGGCATAAAAGGAACCAGTGCCCAGAGAAGCTGTGGCTGCCCCATCCCTGGAAGTGTTCAAGGCCAGGTTGGATGGGGCTTTGGGCAACCTGGTGTAGTGGAAGGTGTCCCTGCCCACGGCAGGGGGGTTGGAACTGGATGATCTTTGAGGTCCCTTCCAACCCAAACCGTTCTGTGATTCTATGAACAACTGGGCATTCAGAGGTAATGCCTACCCAAGGCAACTGGTTTGACCACCCAATCTGCAGCAAACATGAGATGGTTCCTTTGGTTTTCTTCTACTTTATTACATATATTCCTCTGAATACTTTTGGATTCTAACATTTTTCAAGAAATATGGCACAGGATGAAATTTAGTTGAACAGCTATTCTGACTTCCCTCTAGGAGATATATGTCTGAGAACATCAGTCTGGACATTACTCTATATTCCTCTTGGAACAAGTCTGTCTTGGTCGTTATATTTTATCTGGATGTTAGGATACTATTTATTTTCTACACTTAACTGGCATAATTCAGTGTCTTCTTCCTGAGAAAAAGACCTTCCTCTAGAACTTGGAATGACTGATTATTTTGTGCTTGCTTATGAATTCACATGTTGAAGAAATTTCTTTTCCTTCTGTACTGTTTTTGTTGATTCCTGAGCTCCATTGATTAGTAGCCACCTTCATCACCTATGAATGTTTAGAAACCACCCAACTCTTGTGTTAGACTTCCATGCCCAGGGTCACAGATAATTAACACCTGGCTGCAGAATCAAACCTTGGGTAAGATGCTACCAAAGACAGGCACTGTGGGATCAGTTACACCCTCTTCCCTAAAGAATTTCACACACTAATTTACTCAGCCAGGAAAACCAAAGGACAGGAAAACACAGGAGATATTTAAGCATGAATTTGCCTCATCTCATGATAGTGCTTTAGAGTAGGTTTTTAGAGGGGAAAAGTTATGAAAGTAAACAATAAAAAAAAAATAAAATACAGGAAAAAAAATATTTTTTTTCAAGTTGACTCCAAAGCTTGTTGCCTGCATAGCTCTAGATGGGAAAAATTTGGAGGAAGCTCAGAAGGGGCTGCAAAGGTGTAAAAAAAGACAGCACAAGGCAGAGGTCTGCCTCCAATCACGCTGCAGAACATGGACAGTAATGAAACAAGTGGCAAATCCTCCATCAGGATTTAGGTGTTCTCCCTGTGAACAGAGGAATTTTGTTGCCAGGGCTGTTCACATGGTTCTCCTGAAAAGCACAGAATTCGCCAGCAGTTTCAGCAAAAACTGAAACCAGTAAACAAGATAGAACCACAGAATCATTACGGTTGGAAAGGACCTCTATGACCATCGAGTCCAACCGTCAACCCAATACCACCATGCCCACTAAACCACGTCCTGAAGTGCTACATCCACACGTTTTTTGAACGCTTTCAGGTGTGGTGACTCCACCACTTCCCTGGACAACCTGTTCCAATGTTTGACCAAACATTGAACCTTCAAGAGAACCTTTAAGAACTGCTCCCAGCATGTTTTGCAGCAAGTGAAGTCACATAATGGACATTTAAAAGGCACGTCATCCTCAGATTGGCAGTTAGAGCAGTGGAATCTTCCTAGAACAGGGAGAGAGGGGTGGGGAGAGAGGGGCAGAGAGAAAGAGAAGGAGGAAATGACTAAATCCCAGTAAACACCTGTGAACTTCTCACACATACATGTTTCCAGTGCAGTCCAGAAAACAATGACCATGGGCTTTATGAACTACCTTACTAGTGCAATACCTGGCCCTGTTACATTATTTCTTCCACATGACCTCACTCAGTCTCTCGGTGCTTCAGATCCCTATTTAGAAACTGAGGCTCCATCCTTGCTTTACAAGGAAGTTGTCGAGAAAAATCCATAAGTTCTCAGGAAACTATTACATCATTGTGATAACAACAATGAAGCACTCTGGGAACACATGCACGTGGCAGAAAGTACAAATTCTACTTGGCAAACTGCACTAATCACTGTCGCGACTGGGCATGAGCCAGTCATCATTTAACAGATCATCAGCATAATTTCTCATTTCTATAACTTCTCTTGATTCCTGGGCATTAGGGAATTGCACCCAAAACTCCCACCCATACCTACCACACTCTGGCTCCATCTCTAGAGGAAAGATGGGCACAGCTCCAGAGCCTGTGGGCGCTCTCACGTTACTGGTTTCTTTTGATACGTTGGTCTTTGGCAATTCAGCTTTGCTTTTCTGGTTAAAGAAGGAGGAAATCTTTCTCTGAATTTGCTCTGGCACCTCACCCTTAGAAGTGGTTGCATCTAGTCATAAAAAAAAAAACACCATACAAACCAAACAATATACAAACCAGTATAATGCAGAACACAATACACAGGCTCCACAAAATACAATTAGCAGGAAGTTCAGTAAGTTCTCATTGTATACAAAGAAAACCACCACGCTTTGAATAATTTTTTTTTTTAATGCCATACTGCTCAGGAACAGAACTTTCTGATACTAACACACTGAAAGGGACCATTTATATTGGGATAGTTCTGTGGAAATCCTTCCTGCCTCCACCCTACTTGGGTGCAAAAATTCTGCCTTCACCCATGACCCACTTCACAGTTTAAAGAAGATGGCATTATAACGCATTTTCTTCTTGTTTCCTTGCACTTCTCCATCTCCCATTGCCTTTTATTTTACACTTTTTTTTTTTTCTAAACACAATTTGGACATGGCCAGTTGCTTTGACCTTCCTCTACACCCCCAGCGCAGGGAGGCTCTAGCCCAGGCTGTCGGACACCACCCATCATAAAATTCTAAACTTCAAACGTTCATTCCCAACCTTGTATGTGGCTGTTTTCTCCTTTAGTGCACCAGCTCTCCCAGCTCCGAGGGCTCTCTTCACCTGGCACCTGCTGCTGCAGTTGCTTCTCTCCCTCGCCACAGACCATTCCAGTCAAATCTTTACACATCTGCTTGAACTGCTCCTTGTGATGAGGGCGCACAAACATGTAGAACCCTGTCCGAAAGAAAAAACAGGCAAAGGGAGAGGGAAATAAATGTCTGAGCATGGAAGACTCCTTGCTCTGGATGGGAGAAGTTCTGTGGAAACTGAACACCACCAGCGATATTCCTCAGAGTATCTTCAGGTTGGTGGAACACCTGATGTTTTTCATGATTTTACAGTTATGGGGGTTTCCTTGCCAGAGGCAGACAAGTATTTGGGATTGCAAACAATCTCAACTTACCTCAAAACTCTTCCGTTCTCTAGAGCTAGGCACAAATACCTGCCCCAGCCCTTCATCTGACAACTGATCTAGTGAAATCAGGTGCATGTACACAACATCTGAAAACACTTTCTCAAAAAAGAAACTTCTTGTTACTATTTGGTTGACAAGGATTCAAAACACACATACAGAAATCCTACAAAATCCCACTTATGACCTACTGCCAAGCACAGATCATTCTACCACGAAGTCCTCTGAGGTCAAAACACGTACTCAGCAAAGACACTTTTCTCTGAGAAAGAACGCCCGGGGTAGATTATGAGTCACGGTGCCACATGGTTTGTTCCCTCCCACCCTCTGTCATGTCAAGACTAATCTGACCAGTTCATGCACCACAAAAAAAAAATATTTTCAAAAAATTTGGAGACTCGGACATCTATTCAAGGTCAATGGAATACTTATTTTTGCTTCCTAAAGACAACAAAGGAAACTACAGCAGCATTTCCCGGCATACACCGAGTGCATCATTTCCTGCAGATGAGCTCACGACAGAGACAAGGGAAAAGGTGGAACTGAGGTATTACACAGCACGACACAAGATGTCTCCAAGACCAGTACGTAGTCCCTTTTCTTTTTTCTTTATTCTTTTTTATTTTTAAACTATAAAACCCAATTTCAAATTTTGAAAACTTGTAGCTTCCTAAATCCTTCTATCATTAAATCCAGGAAAGGAAAAACAACACCAAAACAAACCACATCTGAGAAAATAAATATCAGCTTGAAATTTCTAGATTATTATGAATGATAGGGATACTAAATTATGACACAGTTCCATAACTATTCCCAGGTAAAGCTCTGTAGAAGAACAGTGAATCAAAAGTGTGACTGCTTATGCCAAAACCTGGAAATTATGTAAGATCTTAGCACCAGTATAGCAATCAATGGTCATGAGAAGAAAATTGGGTCAGTGAACAGTCAGTGCTGTCTTTTCTAAACAACAATCACTTGTAGTACTTGAGGAGGAAAAAGGTAATGGAATGATTTGGCCAAAGATAGCTGGACAGAAGGGCAGGACTGCAATTACTGAGGTCTCATCTAATGTTTTTAATGGACAATTTCTAACCAAACAGAGATAACATTTTATAACCTTGGCATTTTTTGTGCTCTGACATTCATTTACCACATCTTTCCTGCTGCTCCCTTTATCTGGTTTGCTAAACCAAAAGATGTGAGAGGTGAAGTTTACTAATGCTGAAAGCTTATCCCAAAAGTAGAGAATTTACAAATTAATGAGCGGTGAAGGACTACGGCTCACATGTGATCACAGCACCTACGTCATCTTTCCAACTAAATAAAAACAATATTTTTAAAAAACTCCCTTACGCTGTAGGAGATGAAAGTCTTCTGGCCTCTCAGTGGTGAGGGCTGCGATCACCGACACCATGGCGTCGTAGTTATCCGTCCTCTTGTAGGCCAGCAGCGCCTCATGGAAACGGCTGTAGGTGCTTTTGTCCAGAGCCCGTTTCACGTCGCCGAGATAGGCAGCCCTGAGCACCTGGTGGTGATCTCTCCTGGAGCCCGAAGCTTTTTCACCCTCTTTCCTTGGAGCTCGGCTGGGATTCTGCCCTGGGAAATAAAGGACACGTGTGAGCAGGGTCTGGGGAGGAACAGAGACAAACAGGTCACCCCTCTGGATCTTGTTTCATAGATTTATAGATTTCTAGGTTGGAAAAGACCTTAGAGATCATCGAGTCCAACCGTCCCTAATCCCCATTAAACCATATCGCTAAGTAGATCATCCACCCTACTCTTAAACACATCCAGGGATGGGGACTCAACCACCTCCCTGGGCAGCCTATTCCAGTGGCTGACAACCCTTTCAGAGAAGAAATACTTCCTAACATCCAACCTGAATCTCCCCTGACTAAGCTTGTACCCATTTCCTCTTGGGTTTCCTTCAGAAGGCGGGTCCTGGCCAACTTCAAAGCGGTAAAGCCAACGCTGCCTGCAGAGTCACACACCTCCCTCAGGGCCAGCCTCGGGCAGAGCCAAAACCCACTCCTGGAAATTAATTGTGGAGATGGCTTTTAGCATCTTCCAGAGTTTTTTGATCTCTTAAACGCAGCGATGTGCCAGACGGTCACCGGGGAATGAGACAAAGGTGACACAGAAGACGCTGTGCATAGAGGGCAGCAGTAAAGCAGGTTTTGGGCTACACGTTGAAGGAGCAGAAGCATTTGAAGCAGATGGCTCAACCCACGACGCTGGCCTGACACACGGCACGTGAACTGTTGAGGGCAGTTCCTCTCCACCAGCAGGAAAGCACAACGTTCAGAGAGAATAACTGACCTGAGATAATACACAAGATGGCACGAGAGCAACGCAGGAGTGCAGGAGAAGGTGGGAGCAGCTACGAACATCCTGCTAAACTGCAAGTGGACCTCTGTTCAAAATGCCAGTTTTTGGCTTCTGTATGTTTTAGAGGAAAAAGTTCTGTTTGGCATATCAAAGGAATGAAGGATGAAGTCTATCAAAAAACTGATTTAAATTAACCAGGCCACAACTTTTGGTATTTAGATCTTTATTCTTCACTAAAGAACTTTTAAAGAAATGAAAGAAAACAATGAACTTTTAAAAGATGGGCTTAGTTCAGTTTCTTGAAAGGAGAAAAACATGAGTGTGAATTTTATAATCGGTATCTTCTGCCTATTATACGGTTTTCTGACACTTTCATGGGAGCATGAAAGGAGTGAGCTGCAGAATTAATGCACACATTTATTGCTATTATTTTCTCAATTACTTTTAGTGGAAACAAGTTTCTGTGAAAATCAGTCTCACAGACCTCAGGACAAAATATTTACCAAACACGCTGTTTTATCCAAACGTTCTTAAAACAAAACCAGAAAACAAATCAAAAGAAACAACATGGCCTTACACATGAAAAGCTTTTAAAGCCTTCCAGGAAACATCAGCTCTTTATTTATTTTTTTTTAAAGAGAAAGGATTAGCGTTTGACTATTCCTTACCCTCTAAAGAAAGACTTCTAAGCTGTCCAACTATCCTACTCATTTTCTTGTGACAAATACAAGAAATTCCCAGCTGTTCTCAGGAAGATCTGTAATGAAATCATAACTGAGCCTTTGGCTTCAAAGATAAGTACTGGCCAGCCTGAGATTAGAGGGATGCGCAGGGAGATTACATGCAATTGTGACAATACATCCACTACTCTGTTTCTGCAGAAAAACGGTCCGCATGAGGAGTGTGCACGTTACTGATACCAAACAGGAGCTGTTTTCTTCTTCATATCTGGATTCATATTGACCTAGTCTAAAATTATATTGCCTAAATGGCTTTTTCACAGGAACCCTGGACAAACAGGAAGCCCAGCAGTCTTGCAATCAACTCACCCTCTCCCTTACTGACGTGTGCCAGGTCAGTCTCTAGTGCAAACTTCTGACTTCAGTTGGTTTCTTTGATATCCAGCTTGATTTAATTTATTGGCTTTTGTGTTTCGTTTTGTACAGTCCTTGCTGAAAATTCTGAATTACCATCACTCCTACCTACGGCTAGCGAGCCACTGTGCTAGGTGAACACAAAAACCCCATTGGTTCCCACTAGGAGAATTTGTCTGTGACAAAACAAAACGTAACATGTATCATCCTGGAAGTGCATTTTTCTTTATCATGAAGGGTACCTGCACTACTGAGTCCTGTGGTCAAGTGGAATCCTCCTCGGTTCAGGTGGAGCCCAGGGTTTAGCTGAGCACAGGAGTCCTTTGAGAATGCAGTTTTCTGCTGAATCTGTTTTTCTTCTGTTAAATGAAACCAGTTGGTTAACAGTGAACTTCAGGGAAGAACAAACAGAGAAAGGTGCATTTCAAAGCATGCCATTCTGTGCTGAGAACACCTGAAGATGTAGGTGTATTCCTCTGATAAGAGGGGATGAGCTAACACCCAGCTTTTTTTAGGACTTCATTGTTCCAGGGTTTCAACGATTTCACAAGCTCCATGAGGTCATGGTCACCCTCTATTCCCAACTCTGGTGGCACTACGTGAGATGTGGGCGGTCAAGAAGACACACGCCAAGTTTTTAAATCCACAGACTATTAATAATTGTAAATACACCTGCAAAACCCCCTTCAGAAATAAAATGGCATCGTTACAAACTGTGCATTAACTAACGCTCAGGCATCGGTGAACTCATGGGAAGGCAGGCAGGGGGATCAGGCAGAGCAGAGACTCAGCTCAACACTGATTCAACTAAATCACTCTCCATCCTTGCATTTCTACATATTAGACACATCTTGCTCTACAACTGGACAATGTCCAAACGATACAACTGCCTGCACAGTGCTGAAACGAGCTGCTCACCTATTTTCTTGGCTAGTATCTCTCTCTCTTCCCGCAGGAGGCTGTGCTCAGGTTTGTAGCCACAGCCCATTCCGGTCAGATTGCAACAGGCTTCATCAAATTGTTTTTTATGTTGAGGTCGAACAAACTGGTAAAATTCTTTCAGTAGAGAGAAGGAAGAAGGGGAGAAAAAAGAAAGAAAGAAAAAAAATAATAAAAATCAGTCCACAGCTGGTAATAAATGCCACAGAAACCTGCAATGGCAGGACTTCTGGGTTAGGTAATATGAAGATAAAAAAGTGCTGCTAAATAACTTAAAATCCAAATGTCGTTATCTAATATTTATACCATAAGCCCTCTTCTAAGGTAGACACAAGTCAGCTATCATGCAAACTTCCAGCTCTATTATTACCAGGAGGTAATAACTGTAATTTTTTCACTGTAAACATGAAGTAGCTCACCTCTCGGTGAAACCTTGGTACTTGCAGGAAAAGGTCACGAGCTGCCTCCTAAACTGGCCAAAGTATCTGCCAGGCTGATACTGTGAATAACTGATACACTTAATTTGACACCTCAAATTCCTTCCTTGCCATAAAACGCGTGCCAAGCAAAAGTCTATAGGTCAAATGGACTTTAGGTTTCAGATGCCTGCCACTTTTAGAAACTAGACTTGGGCCTCAATTTGGCAATCGAATATTTTCTTATTTCTATAGTCAGATCAGCATATAAACATACTGGAGAAGCTGTCACACCTCGTAACAAGACATGCTTTTTTTCGTCCTCTGTGAAGAGGGAGCTCATCTGAGATAACATAGCATGGAAGTCGTCTGTCTTCTTGTAGTGCTGCAGAGCCTTGGAGAAGAGATCGTAGTTTTGCTGGCTTAGGGTCTCCTTCACCGTTGCGATGTACAAAGTAGCTCGGGCCTTCTTTGGCTCCGCCACGTCTGCCTTCTTGTCGCCTTGCTGCGAAGACAGGAAGACTTCTCAGAAAGCAGTAGGACTTCAGGAGTTACTTGCATGAATTCAGCTGGAAGTGACATATTTACAATTCCACCAGCACACAACGATGAATGGTTTTAACTAGCAGGTTACTGTCTCTTGTAATTATGGTACTCACCCTTGTATTCGTGTGTTATTTCCCAAAAAAACCAAACCAGCTTCAGTGCCACAGAGTAAACACAAATCTAACTGGCCTACCTCCTGGAAACGTCCAATTAACTGAAAAACACAAATCCCTGAAGCAGAAGATACAAAGAACAGAAGGTGTTCAAGCATTTTGGTTCTTCTAAGACATTTCTTGAAGACGCTACACACGAGCAAGCTAGATTACTCTCTCTTGTTGGGGAATGTTGTTCTTCTACAGCTACAAGCAGCAGGGACTTGGAATGGTGCCTCACAACGTGCTCACGTGCTTTGAACACAGAAGCTGTTGGTCCCTTGTCACGTGTCTTCACGACAAAACCCAGTGTCACTAGGGCAATCCTGAGGCACAAGTACGCTGTTCATTTCCCCAGACCATTATCATACTTATTTCTAAAACGTGAATCTCTCGAACATCTGGGAGCGTTCACCCCTCACCGAAGAGCGATGCTATTCACCTTCCCCGCTGACAAAACCCACTGCTTCAGAGGAACGTTCCTAGAGAAGGCCGCCAAGTCTCGTTGCACAATTCTATTCTTAGGAGAAGGCTTAATAAGAGAAATGACATTTGCTCCAAACCTTGGGGGCGAGGCTGACTCATCATGACATCAGATAGCAACAAACTGCAAACACAACCTTCTGCGATGAACCTGCTCCCTTCCTCACACCTTTGACATTCCCGTTTCCGGATCTGTGACTACTTACACCAGTTCCGCTTGCCAGGTGACTGGGAGTCTGACAGCCAGTCAGCCAGCCCCAGTTAGGACGGTACCTTGGACAAGTACCAGCACACAATCACCCAGAGGATTCTCATCAATTCATCATGACTCTTAAGCAACTAGATGCATAATGACGTGACTGAGTGTGGAGACAGGGCAAAACAATAATGCACAACTGCAAATGGAACACGCAATGACTCACTAGAGGTGGGGTCAGGATGTGATACCCAAACAAAACTGGCCAGTCATACCACTTGAGGCTCTACCAGCAGCTGGACCAGATGATCGTTGTATGTCCCTTCCAACTGAACTATTCTGTTCTAATCAAAAAGAATGAAACCACCCACCACACCTGGTCAATGGGAAATGTTTGCAAGGCAGTCAATGCCAAAAAACAATTATTTGCACCTACTAGCCCTACCTGAGCTGTGCTTGATTGGGTCTGTGACGTGTACATTTGAGAAAGAGCACGACAAATAGATTTCAGATGTGCATTGATGAATATTTACAATTTGGAGAAAAAAACGTAATTGTTTTGGTGTCAGTCATCTGGCTGCCTGGAAATTTCCAATTCAAATTAAAGCAGTCTGCAGATCAAAGGGATGCCACACACACGGAAACACATACTGTATTGCTGACTAGCTTTATTTTCTTCCTTCCTCCTTTCTGCTCATCCATTAACCTCTTCTCATACTGAAGGGAAAGCGTTGACAGACGTTGTGCCTGTGAAGATGAAAAGAAAAGAAAAGTAAAAAAAATGCTTTTCGAAGTTACTGTCCATTTAATTCAGCCATTTCCAGTAGTAAAGCTTGTTATCCCAGTTTGTGACACCGTTCAAGAAAGTGAAACAAGTCAACCTAAATTATTGCAACAGAGCCTGGGACACATACCTGTTTCTAGAAGGTAATCACTTACCGACAATTCAGAAAGAGAGACCAAAAGAGAGGAAATTTAAGACAAAGTTGGTCTTGAGGGGGCAGATTTCTGATTAAGCAAAGCTGGACTTACAGCTACCTGCTGCAGGGTAGTCCTGGGAGCGTACACATACCCCTGGGAGCGTACACATACCCCTGGGTACCTGATGTCTCACACGTCCCTTCACTTTCCTGCCTGCAAGTTCTTCTCTTCTGAGGAAAACCTACGTAAGGGCTTTTCTTGGGGTACTGAGAAGGGCAGCCTAAGCAGCTTTATAGAAAATATCAGGGTGGACAGGATGAGACAGTAGCAGAAACACTTGTGGTTTGACAAGATCTTTAGTGTCTCCCATTCCCAGTAACAAAGAATTGCACTTGTACTGCAGTGACTGGGATTACTGGTATATACAAAGCTCCAAAAGAGAAACGAGCAGCATAAGCAAGAGGAGTGAAATTGCTTAATAGCAGAATCTCCAATATTAGATCAAGCCAGTATCAACCATACCAAAACCAATGCCCTAAGTAACAGAAGAAACTGTGGCACAGCCCTGTAGTGCCAGCTGGTTTCACACACCTACTTTCTCAACAGGTATGTCGAAGTGATTTGTTTCTTCGCTCTTGCCCAATAAAAGAATCTCACAGCAAGTACGTGACTCTCAGTGCATTTACAGAACAGTGTTTGCTTGAGAGAGGAACCAGTGAAACCTAACAGCACCCCTGTGCTCCAGCGTGACTCCTAACCATGTCTGTTCAGCCCACAAAGCTGCAGAGTCAACGACTACAGCTAAAACATCACTAAAAATACACAAAACCTTAAGCCAATAACCTCAGATCTGCCAGTTTGTAGAGTCAGTTGCTGACACTCAGAAATAAAACCTTCAGTGCCCCCAGTACTGCAAGGACACTGAATTTCAGACAAGCCTGACCACGACTTAAGTGCACATTTAAATATACTTTAATTAAGCATCATGTAATGGAATGAAGAATTGAAATACAAGCAGCAAGTCAAACATTTATGACACATGCAATAAGTTAGAAAACGATCAAAACCATCTTCTTAATCCTAGACTATGTAAAGGCACCACCTTGAACAGCATGGTCCAGAAGAAATAAGGCTTCTGAAAGACAAGTTTCCATAAGGCATATCTCACAAGGAAAACTGGTTAAGGGGAACTGTCAAATGGATTGAGAGACTCTTTCTTGTATTTTGATTTTTTTGAGATGACAAAGGCTTTTCTTCTTCTTCACTCCAAGCAAATTGTTTCGGAACGACATTAGCTAAATTTTCATTATTCGAGGAACAAGGGTACAGTATAACCTTGATAAAAAAAAAAGGTAACACAGGTGATGGATGGTGAAGACAGACATGAAGGCACATCGACCCCATTATCAGTCCAAACCCAATGCCTGAAGTCAGCTCAATACCAGACTCAGTGGGAGCTGCTCCCTCAGAGGCACTGCGTGTCCCAGGACTGCACTGCCCAGATCTCCGGTGCCAGAGGTCACCAGTTTAGGTGCAGCACAGGATGACCCCCCAGTTCTCAGAGCCACAGAGCAG